TGTTATATTTAATAAAGTGATGAAGAAAGTCAAAAACCGATCTCAAATGCAGGAACAGAGCTACTTCATCCTCAGAGGATAAAGAAGTTCTGCTTACAGTCTCTTCATTTTGCCCTCCTGAAATGTAAACCTAAACATATGTCTTTGTTAAATGTCTTTGTCTTTTTGTAAATATATTTAACATGTTCATACAAATGCACAACTTTTTACTGTGATATCTTGTTTTAATAGTTACTTTATAGTTATTTTATTTTTGCTGCTATTAACGCCTGAATTTTCCCAAGGGGGTAAATAAAGTTCCATCTTAAAAGGCAATCTGAGAATAAGACTATATGTTTTAAATGATTATATGATCATTTGACACGACAGTCATGACTCTATCTGTGTTCAGGTGAGCCGGACAAAGAGCTTCAGTCCAAACAGAGGCTTTGGGAGATTCTTCAGCCCGACCTGCAGGTGGACTCAAAGGGAGTCGCCAACTATAAAGGCTGTGGGTTCGAGGTGAAAGGAAAGGGTCTCTGCCGAGCCCCTTCCCTCACCAACTGCAACATCAAATAGATGAGATAAGGGGTCCTAACATACAGGGAAATACATGCTATAGACGTGATGTGAACCAGAGTTCTTTTATTGTGAAAAGCCAAGAATTAAACAATAAAAATCTGCTGCTGACAGCCACTTAGCTAGTAAGTAGCTAGTGCTGTTAGCTCACAAAAGTTGTATAAAGGTGTATTCATTAAAACACTTTGAACTAGTCATCTGTTTCCTTGGGTGTTTTATTTACCAGAAGAAAGGAAGGCCAGAAGAGAATAAGCCATGACGACTTTTTTCGGTTCCCAGTTTGTTGTTAAGATTAGGTGCTAAACTCACCGCCAGAAAACCAAAAACAAACAAATGTATTTTGTAATTGTATGTAGAAAATGGTCCTGATATGCCGCAGTCTTACGAAATTCTGATGTCACCAAAATGGGGTTTTCCATTGAATTTTGACTATACAAGATCTGTGACAACCAAATCTTAACAAATGAACAGTACTTGTATAGAAACAGGAGCATGAAACAATACCAAGGAGTACACAACTAGCGTAAATCTACAAACAAAGTTCACAACAGTCACATAACTTGACAAATAGACGGGAACAAGATCATTTTAAAAGCAAAAAAACATTAGTTTGTAGTTTAAAGTGAGACCTCCGTCCGGACGGTCAGCGCTGAGTGATGGTTCCTCGCTGAGAGGTTTAGCAGTCGGTCTCTTATCGGTCGTCCTCTGACTGACGGCCAATCACAGCTGTTCTCCACAAACGAGACTCCGCCTTCCACCTTTGCAGCCAGAGCTCTCAGCCAATCGGTGGTCTGCGTTAGGTAGTCTGACGGCTGAAGCCCCGCCTCCTTCAGGTGATCGGCGTGTGTGATAACGAGCAAAGCGTGACGACGCCATTCTGGACCGAAAAGAGTCTGAACGACAAAACCACAAAAAAACATGATAATCGTTACGGAGTGTGAGTGCGTGTGTGTGTGTGCGTGCGTGCGTGTGTGCGTGCGTGCGTGCGTGTGTGTGTGTGTGTACCTCCACATGCTCCTCCAGGTGTGTGTTGTCATGCATGTCAGCTCTCACGACGAGCACAAGTACGTGCACGCCCTCGGGGCAGAGCTCGTGCACGCTCTTAGGGCGGGGAAACGAAGGGGGCATGTCCAACACTCTCAACGTGAGGTCAGACTCCGCCCCCTTTCTCCTGAAATACCGTGGGAAATTCCGGCGTAGCAGCTGGTGCTCCGTCGTCATGGAAACGCCAGAAATACAGGTGCCGGTTTTGAATTCTTCACCACCTGCAACACAATTTTGTGTTGCAAAAACGAAAAAAGTTAACAAAAAGTGCACAAAGTGAGCAACAATATTAATTTATAGAATAAAAACATAAAATTAAATAAGTAAAATACAATAACATAACATGCGTTGATCATAAAGTTAGCTTGTGAGGGTTAAATAAAAACTACTGACCAATCAGAGCATTGCCCACAGAGCTCCTCCCACTCTGCCTTCCGCCTAGCAACAGAATGTTCAGGGCAAGCACGTTCTGCTCGCCGTCGTCGTGGCGACCCCATTTGCCGAGGATTCCGAAGGGGTTGTTGCCGTGACGATGGTGTTCCGTGACGAGAGACATCTAAGGAAAAGGTTTTAACTGAATCTTCGAAATAAAAGAACTAAATGATTGAAATCATTACTAAAATGAACTATTATTAAGTGTTAAAATTACTGCTTATAACAAAGGATCAGAACAACACACTCTATTTCACATTTGATGTTGTAGCTGTGAACAGTGTTTCATTTCTGATTGGACAGAAAACGTACGTTCATGTTGAAGAAGGCCACAACACATCTAAACTTGACGATTAACAGAATTAACAAAAGCGTCTCTTACCTGTGTTACCTTACCAAGAGAGGAAAAGTACTCACATTTCCTGGACTGATCGATATTGTAGTGCGTGTGTGTGTGTGTGTGTGTGTGTGTGTGTGTGTGTGTGTGTGTGTGTGTGTGTGTGTGTGTGTGTGTGTGTGTGTGTGTGTGTGTGTGTGTGTGTGTGTGTGTGTGTGTGTGTGTGTGGTTACTGGTTAAACAGTAACCAGTCCTACCCATCTTTCCCTCGCTCTGTGCTCTTATTAGGGCTGTAAAGACTGATAAACATCCCTGTCATTTAGATTTAAAGGGACAAGCACAGGGAACTGTATCATGTGTTTTTTTTACATCTAGACACCTTTTCATCTGCAGGATTGCAAAAACCAGCTAAAAGCCGTCACTTGCTGAATCCATGAAGCTGCTTGGCGTCACCGTTTACTCAACCCGTAGGAAACATGGACGGTGACATCAAGGAAACAAGGAAACACCGATGGCGATGACATATCAACAAGGAAGCTAGGGAACACGGATGGAAGAGTGAGTGTGTGTGTGTGTGTGTGTGTGTGTGTGTGTGTGTGTGTGTGTGTGTGTGTGTGTGTGTATATGTGTGTGTGTGTGTGTGTGTGTGTGTGTGTGTGTGTGTGTGTATGTGTGTGTGTGTGTGTGTGTGTGTGTTATCTTTATATCAATATAACTAAGGCCAGACAAAAGAGGGAACATTTGCACATTCAATTTGATTTGAAAAGCTTCTCTTTGAAGGTAAATCAAATAAAGGACATGAGCATATTGGTTTGTACATAAACAAACTTTCTGGAAAAACTGAATTGAAATGCCCGACATGAGATATCCTGGTGGCTACTTTGGGCTAGTTTTTGTTCCAAAATGACAATAAATGTGACTTGTACAAAGATATCCGTATCAGATTTACCATCTAAATTCAGCTTTAGTTAGTTAGCATTAAAGAACCGTATAAAATGGGATTTTTTTTTTATTTAAAATAACTCTTGTATGGCTCTGTAACTTATAGACTTTAATAGATGATAATATTTCAAATCAGATAATGCCCATTGGTAATAAGGTTTTTTTGTGTGCAGATTTCTATATATAAAACATCTGATTTCAACTGATTCAAACAAAGAAGAAAAGATAAGACCATCAGATACTTTAAAACTCATAACATTGGTAATATACAGCAGTATGTTCCTTTAGTGTCCTCTTTGTTTTTCATTACAGAATGAAGACGTCATCCTCCTGACGCATATTTAAATCAGGAGAGGGTTTGAATATCTGAGTGTGAGCTTTACCTCTGCGGTCATAAATAACTTTTATCTATACAAATTAGATCATTTCCTGGTTTCTCTGCAGGCTTGTGGGCATGCCTTTTCCTCTTCGTTAACCTTATCACTAAAAACAGTGCTGGAGAAAGACTGGGATACATGGGTCCGATCAGATGGAGGGGTTTCCAGCTTTAGATAGGAGAAGTTACACCAATATGTTAGGTAAATGGAAGATGAATTAAGGACAATGTTAACCTAGTTTAGGAGCAAAGACTTGAAACTTGGGAAAACAGCTAGCTTAGCACTGACAACGTTTGAAAAGATATCTACCAATTGCTTTAAAGTCACTAACTATCATGTTTAAATGGTATTTTCTTTGTTAAATGTTCATTAAAAACAGAACAATTAGTTGTTTTAAGTGTGGGAATTGTACGTCCTGTGCACCTGTCTGGGCCTTCTGTGTGTGTGTGTGTGTGTGTGTGTGTGTGTGTGTGTGTGTGTGTGTGTGTGTGTGTGTGTGTGTGTGTGTGTGTGTGTGTGTGTGTGTGAATCAATCTTTATTTTTTTCCCACTCTATCCAAGCTGCACATTTGGGGCAAGACACAATAAATAAAGCTTCTTCAGTTTGGGTCCGTATCACAGCTGATCAAGATGGCCGACAGATTCTCTGCTCAGAGGGCCTTCAAATGATTCTGGAAGAGAGAGAACCATTTGATGATGATGTAGAGGAAGAGGAAGAGGTTTCAGTCTGACAGTGAATTTGAAGACCCACGAACACTGCAGAGTAACAACATGAACACCACACAGGGGTTAGAGGAAGTTGAAGTGCTAGCATCCAACTGGCAGAACGTAACGGGGTCAAAATCTCTATTTTCAACCGAGAGCCGATTGTTTTTTAATTCAACATAATTAGAATATAATACTTTGTAAAACAGACTGATCTTTTATCAAAATACTTTCCTAAAAATCAACATTATTTTGACATTCGTGAGTTAGCGTCGCGTCTGTTTACATCTACACAACTCTCTGAGAGAAAGACTAACATACAAATCTATGTTTACTAAACTATTTTGGTAAATGTAATAAAGTATTTTCATTTGAGACACTTTTGATATCTTAAAGGCTTAATCTAGAGATCCAAGTTTGTCCCGAAAACAAAGCACACAAACATATTTTAGGTGACCAATCCTTTTAATCATAACAACACAGATTTCCACAGCAAGCGGGGGAAATTAACCCGACCAATAGAAACATCTCTCTCTCACAACAATAGTGCAACCGATCCCAACTTCTGCAGAAACCTCAGGCCTTTAATGTTTTGGCGGCAAAAGTTTGGGTTTTAACGAGGCCACATTTCACAGATTTGGGATGTGAACGAGTTTCTATCGACTGAAACTTCAGAATTTGGCTAATCTCAGTAGCTTTTTGGGCTAATAGCTAAAGATCCTCTGTTCATCAGAATAACATTAAAGCTAACAAACATATTTCTACATATGTATGTCTTTGTATTTGTATATTACTTTGGTAATAATAGCAGAGCATGGACAGAGAATTGAAGATTGAAGTTCAATTTTTCCTTTGAGAAATATAGTTGAATTGCAATTGTAAGATAGCAAGTGGCAAATCTCCCACATTCACGATACATTAAGAAAGTCTCTGGAAAGGAAAAAGATCATTGTACATTTTTGAGTTTGCTGTTTTTTGCAGACTTTTCTCCATTTGTGAAACATCATTGGATATATTTAATTAAATATCTTAATAAATAAGTTACTTTTAGCAGTGCAATTTAGGACTTTTCTTCAGTATTTAGTCTAAGAAAGCCATTCAATAAAATCTTACTGAAATAAGTTATCCATCTTGCCTTTACCTCAAATCAAGACCATTTCTGTAGAGGGTTTTTTCAAAATAACAGCTCGTATGTTGGTCTTTAAAACCTACATGACAAAAGACATGTATTAGGTTTTCCATATCAATGTTGTTCCTGTTGGTGAAGGTGAAGACAAACTGGATTTCAAAGCAGTTTCTGCTCGTCTAGACAGAAGAGCAGGAAACCAGATCTGAACCACAAAGAGTTTCACTCCCGCCTGACAGGAAGCTCGTTAGCATTGAGATACTGGAGGTGTGTGCGTGTGTGTGTGTGTGTGTGTGTGTGTGTGTGTGTCTGTGTGTGTGTGTGTGTGTGTGTGTGTGTGTGTGTGTGTGTGTGTGTGTGTGTGTGTGTGTGTGTGTGTGTGTGTGTGTGGGGGAAAGTAAAGAGACTCTGGCCTCAGTTTGTCTCTAGTCTCTCTGGCCATCCTTCATTTTGTATCTTCTCCAATCTGTCATTTCTTATCGTTTCTGGCACACGTGAAGTCGTGTTTTCGCCACGCCTGGAGATGCCGACGCTAACTTTCCTGCAGAAGAGGACAAAAGTGAAGTGTGGGGGGAGGAGTGAAGAGAAGAAGACGCCGCAAACTTTGAGTTCTCCACCGCCGCCATGAGTGAAGATGATGGCGATGATGATGGAGGTTTGGCGTCGGGGTCTCGCAGCGTCCGGCAGCTAAGTCCGTCCCCACACGGGCAGCGTTGGAACAGCTCCAGCCCGTGGTTGCCCTTCCGCCGGTGTCGTGTGCAAACCTGTCCCCCCCGCAACACCGGCTTACAGATTCGGGTCCAGAAGTGACGGGCGCAACACGACGCCTCGGAACAATCTGAGGAGCGGACGCACGGGTCGCCCACCTGACCTGCACGCATGGACATAATGAATTAGATCATAATAATAATACATTGAATTTTTATAGCGCTTTTCGTAATGCTCAAAGACGCTTTACATAAATCAGAACATTTAAAACACTCATTTAAAAGCAAAGATAATAAAACACTATAACAATAAAAGAGAATGTGATGAATTAAAAGTGAAAGAATGTCACCTTTACTGGAGGACCCTTTGGGCTCCATCCGCCTCCTCTTCCTCCAGCCTCTCTTCTTGGACAGAGTACTCATCTCTCCATCGGGGGTCGTCTGAGACACAAAGCTGCCCTCGTCTGGAACGCAGATATCTGAGGGAGGGACGAGCGTTTACAACGAATAGACGGAACAAAATGAACGCAGAAAATGTGCTAAATTGTTGAACTAATAAAAAGGAATAAAAGGAAAATCATTTCTAGTAATCAGCATGAGCATAATGAAAAAGATTGATTTTAAAGCATTGTTTCGCAATAATGCAATGTGTTCATTGGGCATTAGACATTTTAATGACACTTGAAACCCCTTCTTGTGCGGCTCTTATTTTTTTAGCAGATACTGAGACATTCTGCCTCGAATCATTTTTAAACAGTAAATAAAACTTGCAGCTCGTAATTCTGACTCTCTTATCATCTCAGTGTCACTTTTCTGACTTTCTTACAGGATATAAAACACACAAGACATTCATATATCACTAAAACATGACAAAGATATGACAGTAAAAGTTCAAAAAGTATATATAATATATATATTAATCTTACTGTTGCTGCAGCTGTTTCCAGGACAACACATGCCATCTCTATGGCAACGCCTCTTCCTCCTGCGGCAGGTCTGGCAGCGGGAGTGGGCGGGGCCTTTGGTGGGGGCGTGGCAGTAGCTGCCCTCGCGGCACTCCAGGTCGCTCATGCACTGATACAGCTGCACAGACACACACAGAAACATTTATTATAATGTAAAGTACCGTTACTTTATTATAATGGACCGTACTGTTACTGTCTGATAATCTCTTCCCGCCTCCAATGTTCCATCACCTCAAAGATAATGCCATGACGTCACACACTCACCGTCAGGTCCAGACTGGGCTCCCACGTGCTCCTGTTCACCGGC